CGAGCACTGAACTATTTTTTATTCATTTTTTAAACGCATATTTCACACTCGACTCTTGTTGCTGCGTGGATTGGCTAAGGTCATAGATACAATATAATGCACACTGCATAGCGCAAATCCTAGTGACCATCACTACTGCCATCGGCTTGGAATTTTTGAATTTTTGAATTGTTCCGAAATATTGTATTGTAACTAAGCAGCAGAGTAAGAGCCACAAAACTGAATGGAGTAATGTGTGTTATGTTATGTGTGTGGAGAGAGAGTATTGCATATTAAGTTATTGTATATTAGGTGTTAAATCAGATAAATTTTCTCATAATACCACATACAGCACTTGGATTTTGCAAAGATTAACGTTCATATTCATAGTGTTTAGTTGCTTTTGTTATTGTTGCTATTGTTGCCATTGTTGTTGTTGTTGTTGTTGTGGTTGTTGTTGTTAGCTGACTGTGCTAACATAAAGCGCATTCTCTTTTATGTATTGCTTTACGCTTCTATGTGAGCCTGTTTATTTCAGATACAAATGTATCTAGAATGGTTGCAGTCCAGCTAACTTAGCTACTATTACTCTTTACCAAGTGCAACAATATTTACGTTATCACTCGAAGTCGGTATATTTAACCAAAATATTTGTATGTATTTATGCAAATACTCATAATTTTATGTGTGCTGTGTGTGTGTGTGTATCTGTGTGTGCTATATGCATTATATTTATGTGCATTGCTTTCGCTTGGTTCAGCATTTGAAATCTAACATTTTTGCCGCCTATTTATACAATATTTGTGTAACAGACCTCTTATTAATGTTAAATTTGCGTACTTTTTGTGCACTGCAATGCACTGTTGTGTGTTGTGTGTTGTATGTTGCACTGTGTTCATCTATTGTATGTGTCCGTAGGCAAGAACTTTAGTTATGATCTCACATTGCATCTATACAAAACAAGTACTGATATAAACACTTAAGAGATTTAGTGCAACTTCGAAAGTATTAATATTACCGATTTATTGAAATTGCATCTCTCGAAAGCTACAGGCAATGTTAAGGCAATGTTTATGGTTAAGAATATATTCTTGCATTGCTGTTGTAGTGCACTATATATATGCACGAATCTGTATTTTGTAGTTGAATAAATTTTTGAACATATTTCATAAATACAATATTATAAAAATTCAATGCATTTGAACAATACATGTAAATTTTATTCATATTTTTTGGTATAACTTTACGTCTCTACTACATGGAAAACAACTAAAATCAAATTAACAAAAAATTTTTCATCATAAATATTTTTATAATAAAATTTGTGATATTATCAGTGACACTTTATTAAACTTTTATTTTATCCATTGCACATATATATCCATTGTGTATATATATAGTTTAAAAATTTATGACTCTTACTCCTCGGCCATTATTAAATATTATATAAAAGCTATTGTCCTGTATTTGTTTAATATAAAATTCGCATAAATGCTATACAACAGATGAAATTTATTGTGACAAGTTGCTCTGGCACTTTTATCTCAACGAACACAAATTTTCCGAAACTGAAACTGAACAGAATATAAACAAAACCAGTAAAAACTGAAAATACTAAAGTCAAAACCTATAAAGCAAACATAATGGCAACAACAATTGCACATAAATAACAAGTGTGTATAAAATATAAATATTAAAAAATAAGATATATATACACACACATATGTAAATATATGTATCTGTGTGCAACTGCATTATATATATATGGAAATGCTCATAAAACAAATATAATGTTTGTTCATAAACACCTTTTTTTAAAGTTTTAAAATTACAGAGTAGAAGATTAAATAATATTAAATATAAAAAAAATTAGAAACTAATTATTTATTATATAATAGTGGTATACAGTTACACTAGTAATAGCAATAGCAGTTCCTATAACTTTTACTATTTTTAAATATCAGCTTTTTTAAATGCTGTCTGCCATCACTAGTACTATTTTCAAACAGTAGACAGTAAACAGTTTAAAAATATTTCAATGTCGTTACAAAAATATGTATAGTTTATTCAAACTACATCCGTTATAGCAGTTACTATTCTTCCAGTTCTTATATACCCGTTAAATCACACAATTAACCACACAAGCTCTGGACGCAAACTAAACTAAAACGAAGAGCGATCGGATGACTTTCCAATTCGGAACAGGAGTGGGAGACTGAACGCAGGTTTTACGTGAATCATATAGCACGAATAGCCAAATTATACGGGATCCTCCTTGAAGTAATGCGAAAGCGATGCTGGGGCGAGAAATCCCGCAGAAGAAGAGGGAGTGTTTTAGTTCGTATACTACAACGTAAGAGTCGAACACATCATTCCAGTGACAGTTGGTTTGACTGTGCATAAAGCATTCCACCTCCTCACCACAAAAAAAAATATACCAATTACAGGACTGTGGCCTGACATAGCATGTTTCTCTAGGCGTCTCTACTGCGTGTGTGGCTTTAATGAGAGATTCATAGGTACATGATGTTCAATTTGATCACTCAACCGAAGATAAATAATTTCTAGGTAATTTCTAAGTATTTTCCTTACGTCCTTAACTGGCAGCTGTTTTTATGTGATATTTGCCAAACCATATTCACAGCTCTGGAGAAATGTTTCTCTATCGCAATATTAGTTCATTATACAATGCAGATATCTATACAGGGGTGTAACGAGAAGACTTTGCGGCAACTTAAATTTAGGGCGGTAAGAATTGCGATGGCATTTTCCTAGTTAAGTGCAATAAGAGACGTTACTTTGTGTAATTACGTTCGGAAAGCTCGGAATTCAACAAGTATGGTTAGTGCTTCCACAACTTGATCACTCCGCCAGAAGCACGGTCGAAGTTCTACGTCTTCTTACCTCTACTGCTGTTTCAAACACCTTTTTCGCTGTAGCATCATGAACATCGATTATCAAGACATAACCGAGCTACTGTAGGTAAATTTGCTGACTTATATCAATGTCGTCACAATCCTCGTGCAGCTCACGCGATAGTCGTCGGTAATTCATAGAGAACCAAAGATCTTAAAATGAATTTTTCTCGTTATTATTATATATTATCAATATATTATACTAGAAATAGCGAGATTATAAAACAATATTATTTCAGTAATAATTTTCCGAAAAGTTCAGCACTTCAGAACGCACTCGCGGCCTATAAATCATAAATATTTTTCCTCAACTTCTACTGCAATATGGCAGTTATGGTCATAATAATAATTAATGTCTTTTCTTAAACATTCTTCTCTATAAGTGTGTATATAATAAAATCTATGTACACGTATGTGCAGCAATTATATCTGCCATTATTAAATTTCATAAATGTTGTATCGGAACAGTTTGGGGACTTAAGAGAGGCACATTCGACGAATATTTGTCTGCTCTAACTGCTGAAAGCTATGTAATTAAATTAAGCAATGCAAAGGAAAAAATCCATTTTATCTCTGCAAACAGTCATGAAAATGACAAATAAATCGCATGAAATATAATTACGAAATTTGTTTGCATTTGTTGTTGGGGATTACTTGTGGGTGCTGCATCCTAAAAATTTCGCCAGTGTCACGTCCACCCAAGCAACCAGTTTAAAACTTGCTTACTTAGTCTTGCATGAGTTAATACCCTCTTATAATTAAGTTGTGATTTATTAGTTTAACTTTTTACAAAATTACTCGTTACAAGCCAACGAGTGCAGAAGAAACATAAAATGCGGACACTTTTAAGAAAGGCGCGTGCTTCAATGGCAGTTGATAATTTTATTTTATTTTTTTTGTTGTTTTTTGTTTTTGTGAAAATTTTTGTTTCAGATTTTCTTTTAATTTTTTTTTTGTTCTTCAAAAAAAATTTTCTTTTCTTTTTTTTTTGTTTTATTAACTTGCACCCGGTGTGCTTATTTGTAGAACGCCGCCGTTTGCATTTCCCCACATTGGAAACAATGTCTTGAAAATATTGCTAATTTATCAGTAGTCTCTCTTTAATATGGCGGCTGGTGTCACGGCGACTGCTGTTACTGTTGCGTGGGTAGTGGGTAGTACGTACGCGCGCGTACACCCAAACTTCTTCCACTAACTCAACTCCGATAGCAGTTTTATAATAATACCAGCAACTATGTGAACTACTACCGGCAACAACACCCACCTTTAATATTAAATGTTACACCAGGGACACATTTCGATGAAATATTTCTTAAAAAGTGTCTACGAAAAATGCGCCTTCATTGTTTGCGTACCGAATGTTCTTCTTTTTCTTCAGCTGAGCTGTGTGCTGTTAGTCTTGCTTTTCTTTTAAATTTATAAAACTTTCTCCTTGCTTTCTCCTAGTTTCAAGCGTTTGGGTACATTTTTTAAAAAGTTCTTTCAATGCAAAGACGACTTACAACACACAAAGTGGCTTATAAGGTGGAATGCTGCACGCCTCCACATTCAACCCCCTCACGCACACAGTGCACACACACAGTACTGCATGAAATTAAACAAAAACAACACAATGTAAAACAAAAAAAAAACAAAAAAAAAAAAAACAGAAAGAAGGAAAGAAATATGTTCGAAAAAGAGAAGTATGGTTGCCCAAAAAAGATGCTGCGGCATGGCAACCAGAAGAATTATTACAAGCCAAATAAGCAATATTTCTCGAGGGATGAATGTGCTTTGGTGCGTGTTTTATTTTATTTTGTTGAATTACTGCGCTATGTTAATGTTGCTTCATTGTTAGGGGCGACTATGCACCACTTGGCACATACGCACAGGCCAGGCACTACCACTACCACTGCCACTGCCACTGCCACTGCTATTGCTATTGCCAGCAGTGGTACTGCTACTGCTACTCGATCTTCCACTAGTTCTGGCACTGCTAAAAGTGCTGATGTTGTTCTCATCGATGTTGCTGTTGTTGTTGTTGTCGGTGTAGATTTTGGTGCTACTGTTCAGTTCAAGGATGGAGCTAGGTTACCACCATTTGTCGAGAAGCGCTTGTAAAAGAAAATGTCGAATGCGAAATTAAGAAAACATGGCAGTAAAATTGGGTAATAAATCATTAGGGTGAAAGTGTTATTTATAATAGAATTTGTTTTGCAAATTTATTTCGGTTAAAGGTGTCAAGCATTGAGTGCTTTTCCGCCACTGCCTAGTATCGCAACATCTTAAAAAATCTTCTACTACTAAATCCAATATTCAACATAAATCAAATATTTTAAGTTAACACAGTTCTTAAAGTAATAAATTTCTATTACCCACACCATTTAAAATAATAATGTACTTTGTTTCATTGTTGAGCAACTAATATAAATCTATATATATAGATATATATATATATGAAATAAAAGCTTAAGCAAAATAATAATATTTAAGTAATCGTGAAACTGGCGAATATATTACAACTTAGTATAAAAAAATTATAATACTAATAGATTTGAATTACATTGGAAGGACCATAATTAGGACCATAATAGTTATTAATTTTTAAAAAATCTGGTAATTTGTTTTTATCATTTATCTTTTAAAATAAAACGCAAAAAATAATAATAAAATTAACTTAAGGTCATGTTATACAGATGGTCATATCACAATTGTCAAAAGGTAGGAACTTTACTACTCTTTTGGTACCTATAAATTAAAAAGGTTTTAATTTTTGCATGAATATATTTAGATATCAGCACAAAAATATATATATTTACTCCTAAAAGGCGTTAATTCTGACGTTTATTACTGAGCAACACTATTTTGACCAATGTGAAGAATCATAGAAAGCCTTCATACCAATATATGTATATATATTTTAATTAATATTTTTAAAAAATTATTATTATTATTATTTGAGTTTTACTTTTCCACACCCATATAGTTCGTACATTTTACTTTTAATTTTAAAACGCAAAAATAATTATTATTTTTTAAAGACAAAAGTAAAACGTTTAAGACGTTTGTTGTTGTGAGCTCGCAGACGAAACAGATTCTCTAAATCTCCTCGGTGAAAACATGCAGTCGAAAATCCTTTATCTTAAAGTGATTCATTTTAAAATTAAAAATTTCAAGTCAAAAACCCTTCATAACTAAAAACAATTAACTTTAAAAGCTCAGAAATTTTTTTAAAAATTTTTACAAAATAAAAAATGTTTTAATTTAATACTGAATAAGTTCTTGTACTTTAATTATAGTAGTTCAGATAGGATTTTAATTAAAGAATTCTCAATAACATATTTTAGATCCCAAATTTTTCTCAAAATTTTTGTAGTTTTGTTTAAATTTTTCAAAATTCCTTTCTTAATTTTATATCTTAGTATATCAATGTGTGATTACCTAGGGAATTTTTTTAATTTATTTTTCCTCAAGCATATTATTAAAATATAATCATTTTTCGAAATAAGCTAACTATTACTTTTACATTAATGCGCAAATTTACACATTGTTAGTCATACATACTAGGGTTAAGAGTTGAGCTAGGTACATAAACCATTTTTTAGACATTAAGGGGCTTTCATTTAGACAAATTTCCCTTTTCTTGTATTCGGCAAATACTGAAAATATCACCCCTTCACCACAGTTAAAATTATTTTGGTTTCTTATCATAATAATTATTTCTCATATTTATATCGAGTAAGTCGGAAATACCCTAAAAAGAGTACAATTTCAAAATTTATTACAAAAGGGTTAATAAAACAATCAATTAGTGGTAGTACCATTGTTAAAAAACAAGCCAATTATTTTCTTTGAAAAAGCAATATACACCTTTACTGATCACTATATAATAAAGATGGTATATTTATGTAGTAAGTATGTGGATTATTATTTTATAAATTAATTTCGTAGAAGGTTTCCTGTGATATGAGATGGTACTTTATTTTATTACGTTTACCTTAATGAACATATGTAAGTTGAGTAATTTTAAAACTACTTAAATCAGTTTACTGAAAACATAAGTGGTTCTTATTACTAATAAACTAAAAAGTATTAGTAAATAAATTGAAGTGATACATAAGTATTAAATTTCTTGAAGTCACAAGTTGCAATTATTTATTAAAATATTTTACTTTAATAATAATTGGTTACTTCATTAACGTATAAATATACTTAACACTTTAGTTACCAAAAAGGTCTGAAGGCTGCTTACTATGAAACATTTAGTTCTAACATATGTCTTAATAATATTTGGTTACTTTACATGAAAATTACATGAAAATATACTTCACTGTCTAGTTCTTAAGAGTATCTTAAGGCAGGCTACTATTAAACTGTTGTCCCCAAATTTAAGCACCAAATATTACTTGTTTACTTTATAACTAGCTCCAATTATTTTTCAAACAAAAAGAAAACTTGTGAGCTAAAGGGTTAAACATAATTAACTAACTGAAAAATTGACGGTAACTCTACTGTAGCAAAAAAAAAATGATTTTCCCTATCGATGTTTTTTTTTTCCCAATCAAGAACATTTCTGTTACTAAAAACACTTTCCATTGTTTTTCGAGTACACATGTGCATTTCGATAAATAAATAAAATAAAAAACAACAACAAAAAGACACATTACACACTACACAATAAAAGGAAAAAAGGTACAATAGAATGCGCCAAAAGTAAGTGTTAAAGATTTTTTTTTGCAGTTGTTCTTATTTTTTTTCTGGGGTTCCTCCATGGCAAGTCTCTATTGTACTCAATGACATGGCAAGTTTAATGCTACAAGCCAAAGTGCAGCAGCGTGCAGCCGTAGGTGTTTTATTGAGCTTTTTACTATATTTCTATACATAATTTCTTACACCACACTTTTTCTCACTCACTCGCTCTGTCCCTCTCTCTCTCTCTCTCTCACTCCCTCACTCTCTCGTTCTTTGTAATCTTCGCATTTGTTGCTCTGTGTTTTGTTTTATAGATTTATGATTGTTTATAATGAACTTGTAAAGTAATTATGCGCTGCGACGCGTACACAATCCCATGCTCATATCGTCTTTCCTCACCAAGTGAACTGAACAACAATACTTCTCCTCTCTAGTCGTAACCCTTTACCATGCATTCGTTATCCTTTCAGCTTACAGTGTTGCGGCACACGCAAAACCTTATATTTTACGGTAGTAGAAGCTTGAGATTTTTGGGTAACAAATGTCCCATGTTTCATTGTGCTCGTACACCCCATAAGAATAGATGGATATAGTATATTGTTAAGGTAGCTACTAGCTACATTACAGGAGGAGAATTGTGTGTGTGTGTGTGTGTGAGTGTGTGTGTGAGTGTGAAAGGCATGAAACAGCAAAAGATTGTAATTACACGCTTCATTGTTAGCTATGTAAAATGTTATATTATTATTGTGTCGTTTTTTATTGTTGTTGTTGTGTTGTTGTTTTTGTAGTTGGTATTGCTTTTGTTGTATTTTAGCACATCATGCTGCCATCATAGTCATGAACGGCATACATACATACCATACACTTTCGTAGAACTAAGCATACCCATATTTGAGATATATGAAAGTATGTATGCGTGTATGAATGTGAGTGAAGTGGTTCCATGCTTGCTTCACTAAAGTGTCGTATATCTCGTTTCTAATTGGGTTTTCTGCTCGTTCTAATGTTAACCTTTTCCCACTTTTTGTGTGATGTTGAATGGTGCTTTATATTCACTTAACTTGCATGCAAAACGAAACGAAACTGCATAAAGGCACTAAACGGAAGCATAAAAGAAATTTTGCCCACATTACCGGAAGGAGAAGTTGCCTTAGAAGAACTACTAGGAAACGTTAAGCTTCGTTGCTTTATGTTCTTAAAGAAATTTGAGCTAAAAATTATGGTACAAAATAACAATGCATACTTTTCGGTCGTAGAGCACAGTTTACAGTGCATGTGTATACTGTATAGCCTGCTTTCTACCATACATTCAAAGTGTTTGTATGGTATGTTTGTATGAGTTTTGAACATGTATGAACACAAATGAACATAATAAATGTGTTGTTCTTTTATATATATGAGCTGAACACAAAATTTTCGAAAATTTACTGAAAGTACTAGATATACGGTATAGTTTAAAATATATATGACTTCGTATATTCACATGAAGTCAAATATTTTTTAATATTTATAATACCCATTTTATACACATATAGTACACATGCATATGCATATGTATGCAAAGTTTATCACAATTTCTCAAGAAAACACTGCATATATTATGCAGTTAATAAGTTGCACTAATGCGTTCAAATGCAATTTCACACTTGTCTGCAGAAAGTAATGCAACCATATTTCCGGAGAGAAAAAAATCCAACATAAATTCACTTCGACAAAACTTAATTCAGATAATAAACGAAGGAGTTGAGAAAAGTTTGGTGCAGTAAAAGTTCTTTATATATGATAAAAAAAAAATGGCCTTAAGTTGATAAAATGAACACGTTTTGAGTATTATTGTAAATTTTAAAATATTAAAATTTTGAATAAAACGCTTTATTAATAAATATCAATAATAATAGTTAAAAAGTATAAAAATAATAATTAATGTTATTCTTAAGAAACTAATAATCCGAGTTATAGTAAATAGAGAATTAACACGATGTATTCTTTTTCTTTCCATACAACAGCTTTGATTTTTTAACATTTCCCTTCGATTCCATATAGTTTATTAGTTATTGGTATTAAGGAACACGAGCTAGCCAGACGGGGCTCTTGAGATAATCATACGAAACACCTAAAGAATCTGTGCATACCGCACTCTCATTGGATAACCCTCAAAAATTAAATTTGTTGACAGGTCACAGCCGATTAGGGGACCCATGCTAGAACATTGAATTTCTTGTTTTTTTATTCTTGTCACAATTGTGAAGAGGACTAGGAAAGTTCTTCACATCTTCTTTGTTACTGCCCCAGTATTGTATCTTTTTCACTATCGCGAACAGATTTGGCATTTCCAACAATCTTCTTCTTGTATTATTTACTGGTTATTATTTAAAACTGGTTATTTGTTACTACCCCGACCTGATCTAATTATTCGAAAGCAATGAAGAATCTGAATATTTTGCACTTTCATTGAGATACTACGTATAATTGATAT